CACTGCCACTGTTTGTGTGAGAATGGACTGTTTCCGCCTAATTGAGATGCAAAAACGAAAACTTGATGTTACGTCATCTGGAAAGCCGAGTCATGCCGATAGCTGATTGGTTGTCGTGAGATGACGTCATGCCTACTTCTGGTATAAGTATCTCGCGTCGCTTTGGCTCAGTCCCTTCTAGTTCGTGCTTTTGGCTTTCGCTTTGTGGTGTGCGATTTCCAGCCCCTATTGAAAGACGTCTTGCAATCTTGCAGTCCGGGGATAAGTTCCGAGGTGCCTGTCTACAAGATGGATTTCCCGGATAAGTTCCAAGGTTCCAGTCTACAAGATGGTTTTTCCCGAATAAAGTTCCTTGGTTCAGTCTACAAGAAGACTTTTCCTGAATAAATTCCTTGGTTCCTGTCTACAAGATGACTTTTCCCGAATAAGATGACTTTTCCCAAATTTCCCAGTTCCAGTTTACAAGATGTCTTTTCCTGGATTCTCAAAAGAGGCTACAATGTGAGTGACTGCCGTGGGCGGCATCCATGTTCTTCATGAATCCGGCATTTAACATAAGTTAGCGGCGATGTTTTACTGGGCTATGATTCCTTGTGTTCAACTACAGTGAGCAGAGTTAAGCCGGATTTAAGTGCTCTCAAGGACTTAATTTAATTTTCAGGTGCCTTTTTGATCATTAAGCGTGGATCTATTGACAGTGTAGCTAATTTCATTTAAAACCGCATAATTTCTGTTTAGGATGCGTTTTTCGCGTATTGAATGCCAATATTTTGGAGACTAGGTAAAATACTATTTAATATATGAAATTTTGATAATGATGGTTATATTATAATTTCTAAGTTACTGATATTGTTTAAATTTATTCATTGTGTTTTTATTTATTATTTATTTTTTTATATTGTTAATAAATTGGTTAAGTTTGAAACCTTTTATTGTCTTCAATGTCTGCACAACATATAATCTTAGGGAGCTTCTATTGCTACTGCTGCTAAATGTTTAATTTTATAAAATTTAAACTTTGCTTTTGCATCAATAAGTGCAAAGCTAAACTGAGACGGAGTTAGAGTCCTGTTGCAACATCCACTAAGTGGCAAATGTGGTCAACTGGAGAAGTCGTAACTCTTTGTGTACCTTTGGTAGGGCTTCAAGAGATTGAATCAGTAGTTAGAAATTGGTTCCGCAACTGGCTTACCGTAGAACAGTCAAGATTTGGTCATTTTGCAATGCCAGACTATCGCTGACCTGCTTCTAGTTGACCTATGGCTCTTTATCACACGTCTGATTGCATATGTTGTTTCAAACTCATTTTTATTCTTTGGCTACCTCAAAATTGTTTAATACACTCACTTCCAAAAGTTAAGCACAGAGAGGAAAATGCTAATTTCCGGAAGCCAATCAGAATTGAAGAGGATGCAATTCGCTGCAGAGGTAGATGGAAGTATGCAAATATGTTAGGTAACAGCCAATTGCACTTTCATGTCAAGAAATATGCAAAAAAGGCAGTCTTATAAGAAGCCAGCTCTATGAAGGGTTACAGATGTTGATTGTAAGTTCTGATAGAAGGTGTTTAAAACTTTCCTACAATTTGTTTTCAAGACATACGTGTTTCTATGACTTCCAGAAGACAAATGGAAGATTCTGAGCACTGGCGTGCTGTGGGGCGCATTGAAGCAGGACAGTCGATCACAGATGTTGCTCTTTTCTTCAGTGTTCATCATTCTGTAATTTCACGTTTATGGAAACAATTCCAAAACACACAGACAGTTGTCCGAAGGCCCGTAGCCAGTCCCCTTCCCCCCGTGGAAGATCGATATATTGCTATTGTAGCCAAGCGAAATCACAGAGCGACCTCCACACTTGTGACGTCTATGGTTGCAGCTCCATTGGTAAGGCGATATCTGCAGCTACAGTACGCCGAAGATTGCATATGAGTTGACTGTATGCCCGCGGACCTTGAATTTGTGTTCCTCTATTTGTCCAATCAAGAGGGGCTCAATTACAGTGGTGCCAGGAACATGTCATTTGGAATGTGTCTGACTGGGGCAAAGTCATGTCAACCTTAATCCCATTGAAAATCTTTGGGATGCTCTCGGCCGTGCTGTATCTTAACGTTTCCCACCTCCAGCCACTCTTATTGAGCTGGAAACTGCTCTACAAGAAGAATGGCGATTGCTTAATTCTGCGGTAGTTGACTACCTAATTGAAAGTATGGTCACAAGATGTAAACTTTGTATACAGATGACGGGGGATCACATACCCTATTAATGTCTTTTTTTTTTCATTTTTTGATGTTTATTTTCACTTTATACATAATTCTGTTTGTCTCCAGTATGTCATTATGTGATAACTCACAAAAATTTAATATTGTTTTCATTCCTGTATGTAATTATTAATTTTGTTTTATGCATAAATATATATGCTACTTTCCTATCGAATTTTGTGTCAAGCAAAGCAGTATTTGTTGATTTTTTTGCATTTTACATCTTCATGCTTAACTTTTGGAAGTGAGTGTATATCTTCGTTCACATTGAAAAGTAATTCCTTCCTAAATAGCACGTTTTAAGCTGTATCATATGTACATAAAGTGATGGCAGCATCACTCTTTTACATAATGCTACAAGGTGAAGCTTACTTTTATTCATAACATATCCAGATTTCAAGAATTTTGAACTACTTTTACCTTATTTATCGCGATTTTTTAATTCTTGCTTATCTTTTGGAAATCAGTGCATATATGATGTACATAATACATTCCAAGTGTTTTTTTACTAGTAGTAGCAATTGTCAATTGCTACTACTAGTAAAAAACACTTTTCATTAGCAATTGTGAACAATTGCTAATGAAAAAGATTTTTGTTTTAACAACTCTCAAGTTATCAAGTCGTAATTGTAATATTAAAGTAGAATTTTACAAAACTTCCCTGGGACTAGGCTAAATTTTCATATTTCTCAGATTGATAATAGGCTTTACAAACTAGGAACAGTGGATTTGAAAAGACTTTCTTTATATATTTATGAAGTTATTCCTTTAACAAGAACAAAATTATTTTGGATCAATGTACCTTTCCATCTATTACAGCATTTAATTTCTTTTAAGTGTAAATTTATTTCCGTTTATAATAATAATTCAAGCTGTCCAGGCTTATTGGTAGTTCTGTTCATAATGGTTAAAATTATAAGACTATATCTCATTAAAATTTCATGTCTTTTTTTTTTTTTTTTTTTTTTTTTTTTTTTTTAAGGTATACTTAATAAATTTAGACCGGCGGCCTGAAAGGAAGGAAAGAATGTTGAACACCCTTTCTGAAATGGGTATTGATACTCATATCTTCTCTGCTGTAGATGGCCAGTGAGTTTCATTTATGTGCCTCATATGTTATCATTCTTGTGTTCTGTAATTATATTTTTGGCTGATGCCATGTTAAAGCAATCAGATCTTGTAATTGCGAAAGCACTTTAGTCATCCCAGACTTGGGAGCTTCATTAAGTACAAATAGAATTTTGTTGGTGATCTTGAGTACCATTTATATCAGTTGTAGCAGATATTAACTTACATGACTTGTAGAGGTAGTGATCGGCTTGATATTAAAAAAAAAAAAAAAAAAAAGAATTCTGGTGATAACTGTATAGATATTATATTAGCACATACTTGAAAGAACCTGTCAGAGGTTTGGGATATGGTAGTGACAGGGAAACAAGTATTTATTGGGAAGTTACCAGCATTGTTTTTTATGTTTACTGAAGTTTGCTGTCTGGGATAAGATGCAAGTATTATTTTAATCTATCTATCGAGAGAATGACTAAATGATAATTAGCTAATCTATTTTTATGAACTGTCTTTAGGAACAATTTTCTTCATCATGAGAGAGAATTTCTCATTTCCTTCATATAAAATGGACAGTCCTTTCATTATTTTCACAGTGTACAAATAGTAATAGTCATCTGTCATGGAGTATTTAACTTGGCTATTAATACAACTATTCAAGTCATTCTGCAGGTTTTTAAATTATAGCATCAAGAAATAGTTTAATTCAGGAGTTGTCCTGATAACATTATTCATCTGAAAGGTTACTTTGAAACTGACTCACTTTTGTGTTAGATAGTTGCTATTTATCTTCTGTTCACTTTATTATACTAATTTTTTGATGAAATTAAATTGAAAGCTTCTTCTAATTATATATAATGAGTGCGTTGACTGCATTTTGAATTAATAGTAATGTCACATCTAATGTTTTAATTAGCTCCATGTTTTAATGATTTTTTTAAATATACTAAATGTTCAGTTTCCTGAATTTCCTGAATGCTGGTAGCATATTTTATTCCCAATGCTAACGTAATTTTAATGGTACTCTCGGCAGGACTGTTTGAATAATTTAAACTAAAAAATAATTCTGAAGGTAAGCCTAATTCATTTTTGTATTTGTAAATGGAATGTCTTTTAAGGCTTTAACAGCTCATTCTACGTGTACTAAAGCTTAAAATAAATTAGAAAAACTAGGTATTAAAGATGCTATAGATGTTTATCTGCTTGAAACTGAATTATATGTTTTTATATCAAAGAAGAACGTTTGTTGCAAACTCATTTAGATATTTTATTTGTGCTAACAGAACGTGAATTTGAAAAATAGTATGAAATTGTTGGAGATTTTTGTGAAAAGGGTGTAAGAATTGAAGTAAAAGTTAAGCAAATTATTAGTGAATGGCAAGATAAGGATATGGATAATGTTACTTCCATTCACTTAGACAGTAATAATGCTGATATTGTTGTCAATTTGAACATTAGAAAATTGGAATTGTGTAAATTTGATAAAGATGTTAAAGAAATGTAATTTTGGAGCCAATTCAGAAAGCATAAAGATCTATGTATTGTTGACTCGGACAAATTTCAGTATTTTTTCAAAGTGCAGTTAAAAGTTCTTGGGCTAGAGAAGCCTTCGACAGAAGAAAATTACCCATGTTAGAGAGCTGTTGAAAAATACCTGCCGCAACTGTATTTAATCAAGCAAACAGCTTTGATGGTATCTGTATTCAACTTTTGACTGCAAAATCAAGGATGATTCCGGAAAAAACTCTCACAATTCCTTGTTTAGAATTATCGGCTGGAATGGTAGGAGCTCGATTGTGTAAAGTAGTAATAGAAAGTATCCAATGGTATAATGTTAAACAATACTGTTGAACTGACTGAACCACGGTATCAATGTGGATTCAGAAAAAATTATCCTTGGATAATTTTAGTGGAGAACCACGTTCAAGAAATAAGGAAATTGACAAATTCTGATCTGGAGGCATGTTCCTGAAGTTTTGAATCTGGCTGATCTTCCCTTAAGTGCAGTTAAAATTGTTTTCAAAGTGCAGTTAAAAGTTCTTGGGCTAGAGAAGCCTTCGACAGAAGAAAATTACCCACGTTAGAGAGCTGTTCAAAAATACCTTCCTGCTGCAACTGTATTTAATCAAGCAAACAGCTTTGATGGTATCTGTATCTAACTTTTGACTGCAAAACAAGGATGACTCCGGCAAAAACTCTCACAATTCCTTGTTTAGGATTATCGGCTGGAATGGTAGGAGCTCGATTGTGTAAAGTAGTAATAGAAAGTATCCAATGGTATAATGTTAAACAATACTGTTGAACTGACTGAACCACGGTATCAATGTGGATTTTCAGAAAAAATGATCTTTGGATAATTTTAGTGGAGAACCATGTTCAAGAAATAAGGAAATTGACAAATTCTGATCTGGAGGCATGTTCCTGAAGTTTTGAATCTGGCTGATCTTCCCTTAAGAGGTTGCTCAGCAAGTCATCTGTCATGGAGTAAATGGTGGGAGGAACCCACTTGGCTCAAGTAGACTGAAAATGATTGGCCTGTTGCCGAACAAGCATTGAACATAGATGCAATATCACAAGAAAGGAGAAGGATAATTTTGAATCTGATCAGTCAATTGCTTTCTGTTTGAATCAACCAGCTATTTGTGAAATATGTAATATGATTTCTGCAAAATGTAGACATGGCGAATCAAAATAATTATTTTTTAATATGTCATAAAATGATATTCATGGTAGCTTAGCTCTGAAGGTTTATTTTTAATTGCCAAAATCTGAAGTCTTTACAGATTACGGAGTTGTTAAAGGATTGATAATAACCAAACATTAAAAAAATTATCACGCTCGCTCTTAAATTTTGCTCAACATATTAAGGGAGCATTACTGCATTCTAAACACAAGAAAAACTATAGGCACAGATAAAATATCCAAATGTGTTATTTGCATAAGATATGCCAAAAGGAACCTAACTGCTCAAATTCTTCATTACCAGAAAAGAGGGTAAATGATTCTGAAATTTTTGAGATAGTTGGGATGGACATGATGAGTCCTTTATATTTAAAGGGAGGAAGTAATCATGGATTTGTATTTACACATGTGCCGTCTATTGTGCGGTATATTTTGGACTTTTGTCATCTTTGAATACAGCAATATTTCTCAATAGTTTCTGTTGATTTCTTGCATGGCGAGGCAGACCCTCATTTGTGTACTATGATAACAGCTCTAAGTTTGTAGGAGCATCCAACAACTTAAAATTCATGAATTGTGATGAAATTTTTCACTTTAGCACAACAAAAGAGATTCAGTGGTTTTTCAATTCCCCACTGCGTCCTTGTGGGGAGGCTTTTGAGAATGGTTGATAGGTGTTATGAAGCAAAATTCTGAGGAAAGTACTAGGAAAGGCTTTAGTTTGTTATGAAGAGATGACAACCATTTTATGCTGAGTGCAGAATATTGTTTACTCACTACCACTCACCTACACTTCAGGAAAATTAAAGTGAATGTATTGCATTATTCGCTAGTTCCATCTTAATTGAGTTCTGGCAAAATGATAAAAATTGTCTCAACAAAATGCTAATGTCAGCAAAATTGATCAAGAATGTTAGGAAAAGATTTAGGAATTATATATGTATATATATATATGTATTAATATTTAAGATGGAATATTTAGACTACTAATTCAAAGAAATAAACATGAGAAATATTATCAACGAATTAGAGTAGGTGACGTTGTTCTGATCGGAAATGGTGGTAAAAAGTGTGTTGGATGGCCATTACTTATTGTAATGGACTTGCTTCCTAGTGGAGGTAAGATAACAAGATTAGTTTATGTCAAAAACAGAGGCCTACTCTTAAGGCCAATATGTAGAAATTGATGACAATTTAAGGTAAGAAGGGTCACATATAAAATGTTAACTAACTCCATGTTTTAATGATTTTCTTTTCCTAGTGGTTTTTTACTGAGTTTGTGAGTGACAATGAGTGTAAATTTACTTTTTTGTTTTATGTTTGAAAATTAAAGACTGAAATTCCTTTTACTGTAAAAAAAAAAAAAAAAAAAGAGGGTTTTTTTTTTTTTTTTTTTTTTTTTTTTTTGATTAAACGGAGTAAATGTTCACTTTCCTGAATTGCACGAATGCTGGTAGCATATTTTATTCTCTGTGATAACAAGTAAACTGCTTATAATTAATCTGAATGGTGTGATTTTTTGTGGACTACTGCATATGGTATGCATTTTTGACAGAAGTTTTTGTTTTGTAATATTTAATATATTTTAGTAATCTATTATTTTCTTATGTGGTATAGAGCATTAAATGATACTTATATTAAACAACTGGGTATCAAAATGCTTCCCGAATATGCTGATCCATATCACAAAAGACCTTTAACAAGAGGTGAGATTGGTTGTTTCCTTAGCCACTATCATCTGTGGAGAGATGTAAGTAATAATTTTTTTTATTTTTAAATTTAGCTCAAAGTATTCAATTTTTTTCATAGTTTAATTACTGTCTATTTTAGATATAAAATAGTTCAATTTTAAAAGAAATTATGATAATTTTATAATTTATGCTAAGAAATTTAAATAAGTTCACAAAACCCATTCTTCTAAGATATTATTCAGGAAAAGAGAAATTTCACTTTCTTCATAAAATATGATTGTTAAATACAGGGTGATCTTTTTAAAAGTGACAGTGTTTGGAGCGCAATCTAATAGCAGATATGGCACCAAACTTAGTATTTAGACTAATCAAGACATGGGAAAAAGGATTCCGTGAAAAAGATTTTAGTTTGAAAAATCGCCGCTAGGGCATTTTGTGGCGCTGCTGTAGCTTACCATAACGAGAATTAGCATGAAACACGGGTATGAAAGAAAAATGCAAATATTGTGCGATGACAGCGCCAGTAATAGGGGCTATAAAAGCAAGTAGTAGACAGCTCCGACAAATAATCTCAGTTGAAGTAAACGAGCTCCAGTGGATATGCCTCTCACGTTACCGGAGTGCGCGTTACTGGTGAAGCTGTATTACATGAATCAATGTAATGCATCTGCAGCTCTTCGGGAATTTCGAACCAGGAAAAAATTCCGAAAGGGGCCTTTATCGCTGAATGGTCTTAAGAAAATGATTAAGAAGTTCGAGGAAATGGGGTCACTGACCATTCGCGCTGGGAGAGGATGTAAACTTGTAATAACTGATGTGGGAACTGCAATTGTCGAAGGATCGTAGGGAACCATTGCTGGTACTAGCAGCGCCTGAGGTGTAGCTCGGCAATTGAACATGAACTATTCCATGGTATGGAGAGGTTTGCGGCGCGTTATTGTATTTTACCTCTATAAAATCAGCCGCTTGCACGAACTGAAACCAAGTGATTATGATAAGCGAGTGACATTCGCTCTATTGCTTCTATCGTTTTTTGCCAGGGTAGAAATTGATGATGCTTTCCCATGGCACATTCTGTGGGGAGATGAGTGCCATTTTTATCTCAATGTGTCCGTAAACACACAAAATAGTCGAATTTGGGCTTCTGAGCAGCCCCACACCGTGCACGAAATCCCATTAAATTCGCCATAAGTCACTGTTTGGTGTGGTTTCACAGCCGAATTCGTAATTGGGCCATTCGTTTTTGAGACCAGCACTCCAACAGAACCCCAAACGTGCACCATAAATGCAGAAAGATACCATGAAATGCTGCAAACATTGTTATTCCACAACTTCAGCAATGAAACCGTCTCCAACAGACAATCTTTGTGCAGGGTGGTGCTCCGCCACACATTAGTAATAAGGTAAAGCAGCTGTTGTGCCAAAACTTCACTGATGATAGAGTCATAAGTCGCAGTTTTCCAGTTGCATGGCCGCCTCGTTCCCCCTGACCTCACGCCATGCGATTTTTGGTTCTAAAGGACAACATGACAAAGACAGTGCGAAATATTCCTCGTGATATGTTACATGCGGCTGTGGAGAACGTTGTGCACAGAATGCACGGTGTTATTTCTGAGAACGGTTCTCACATTGAATGTGGTCTAATGCCTCACCGGGGAAGCTAATGTAGTAAATAAACATTAATAATTGTATGTATCTTAAATATAAGGTACATCTTATTTTGAAATAAATAAAAAGTTTGCAATTCAAACAAATTAATTATAATATTTGAAAATGTTTGCAGTTTTGTTACTTTTACATAAAAACGAGAGTAAAGCTGAGAACTGAAGTTAAATGCATTTGTGATGTATTTTCATTGGCAATAGCTGGTAGTGTTCATTTACGTGTCAGAATAAACTATTACGCTACCAGCATATCATGGACTCTTAAGAGACTACTAAAAATATTCTAAAGTATTTTATTTATTTTCTGAAAAGATGTTTGGAACTTAATATAACTTATGTAAATAACAAGTCATTCTTCTTTCATAAGCGTAACTAACTGTTGCAAACATATTTTTCTAATTCTATAAATTGTTTTGTTGCCACTTCCAAGAAACAAAACTAACAACAATTTATTAGTGGCCAAATGACATAAGTAAATAAATAAAATTAAAGGAAAGTAAGTATAAAATACAAGCAACATTTCATTTGAAATCCAACAGGGAGTATAATGAACTATGACAGATTACAAAAAGGCAAAACTATAAAAATTTCTAAAAATATGGAAAATTCTTTCCCTATCCTGCATAAAAGAAACAAATAGAATACAGTTTAAACACAAGTGAAAAATTAAAAGAAAATTAATTTCATGATTCTGAAGTGCAGAGTGCTTGATTATTGCTTGAAAATTTATTAGAAAACATATTTAAACAGCCGAATTACATTCATTAAAAAGTGACTTTCAGGTATTGATAACTGCCAGATTTGTTCATATCTGCATACAATTTGGGTAACTTTAAAGTTTGTGTTAATAAACTGTGTATTGCTTGGGCTTACTAAAATGTTTCATAAACTTATCAAAAGTACCAAATCTTTTCCTCTGCAAAGTCAGCTGACAAACTCTGTTTTAAATCAAGATATATTCAAATTTTAATTATTGTCATTAAAAGGAAAGCTTATTCTTCATAATGTTTTTCATGTATTCATTTTAGACATATTGTATCATCAAGTTTGCATAATTCTGTAGGGCAAGATTCCTCTGTGGGAGTGCTAAAATACAGCACATTGATCCTCTAAAGTCTGCAAGTTTTCAAAAAAAAAAAAAAAAAAAAAAAAAACATGAAAGAAATGTGATGTTACTTCTAGTGTATGGGAAATAAGTTTCATTGAAAACGTGAGCAAAAGCTGATTTTATATTTACATGGAAAAATGCTAAAAAAAAAAAAAAAAACAACTAGACACATTTAAATATTCTTTTGTGCCATGAAACAACTGACTGAACACTACCCAGCATCATGGATGTCACAAAAGTGAATACAGTAAGAAGAAAACAAGTTTCTTTCTGCGATAAGTAGAAGACTTGATATGCTATTTCCTTCATATGGCCTCACAGAAAGAAATCTAAAGGTGTCAGGTCAGTCATAGCAGACACATAACAAAACTGTCACCTCCAATCAAGTGATTTTTCTTTGTCCAATCAGTCACATATAGAGAGCTGAATTGTGCTGGTACTCCAGCTTGCTAAAATTATAAGCTTCATAATACTGCTGAAAGTATGCCACTGAAGTTAGTTTTTACATCAGAGAAAAATGCCTCATATGAATTTTTGGTGAGCCATTGAGGCAAAGGTATGGTCTAGTATTGCAGTTATCCAGGGTGTCAACCCTCATATTTATTAATCAGCTCACCTGATGTTTGTGCAGGTGATTTGCTTGAGGTGATTGTGACCACATATGATTGTGGTGACTGCTGATGATTCTATAATGTGTCTCCAAGGCATATGAAATGTATGGTTTCACGTTCCTGGATTGGCCATGCACAAAATTCAATGCATCGCTGAAAATCTTGTAGATGCAGAACTTCTGTCATTTTGTAGTGAAACGCCTCACTATTCATAAAAGCCTGAACCTGGGCCCATTGACTGTCATATTGATGGATCGAGGTTCAAATTCCCAAGAAGGCATGGATGTTTGTAAGGATTTAGTGTCTGCAGCAAGAGGGTGCAGTGAGCTGAAGGTCCTCTCATGAGAGGTTGGTAATAGGAAAAGAGGGTTGGGACACCGTTGGATTGCCCTTCAGGATGTTCACCCTCAAAAACTGGAGAACTGCACAGATAGTATAGCAGGGTTATACTTGTATAATTCATGGTAAAATTCTGGTGTCTGGTCCACTTCTGCCTGTACCATAAGGGCCTGTTTACATTAGCAGAACTTTGAACCGAAAAAATGCCTACATACCTAACAACTTTGGGATAAAAATTTAAATTTCATATGCTGAAGAAATATTTCATTTTTGAAATTTTGAATGACATTATCACATAGGCTGTTTGCTTTTTGCAATAAATGCATAGATGCTCAATAATTTATCTAAAAAAAGCTTGAGTGCATTTTTCCCCTGTAGTGAAATTACGAGGGCTATTTTTTCAACCTCCGATGGGCTATAAAGAAAAGACGGGTGAATATGCAAAAAAGATTTTATTACCAAAAGTAATGTACAATACAGGTTATTTCTCTACATAATCACCTTGACGATTGAGAAATTTGTTATATCTGTGAACAAGCTTTCCAATACCCTCTTCATAAAATGTCCCTGCCAATGATTGGAAGTGAGTTGTGACAGTTTCTTTCAGCTCCACATCATTTTGGAAGCGCTTCCCCCCAAGCCACTGCTTCAGTTCAGGGAACAGATGAAAGTCACTCGGTGCTAGGTCGGGACTATATGTTGGATGTTCAAAAATGTCCCATTGAAATTGCTGAAGGAGCTGTTGGGTTACACGAGCGCTGTGAGGATGGGCATTGTTGTGGATCAGAACAATTCCAGAAGTCAGCATGCCTCTTCGTTTGTTTTGAATAGCTCTCCGTAAGCGTCGCAAAGTTTCACAATATGAATCTGCATTAATTGTTGTTCCAGGCTGCATTAACTCCACAAGCAACACACCTTTTTTGTCCCAAAAAACAGTTGCCATAACCTTACGGTTGTTAAAGGCTTGTGTGAATTTTGTGGGTCTCTTTGGAGAATTTGTGTGCATCCATAGTTGTGATTGTCGTTTCATTTTGGGCGTGTCATATTAAACCCATGTCTCATCACCTATCACAATGGATTTAAAAAACTCTTCTCCGTCGGTATTGTAGCGATCAAGAAACTGAAACGCTGCAATCATTTGGCGAGTTTTGTGGTCGTCAGTCAACGTCTGTGGGACCGAGCGTGCGCAAACTTTTCTGTAGCGCAACTGTTCAGTAATGATAGAGTACAGGGAAGATCTTGAAACTTCTGGAAATTTCATCGATAATTCACTTATGGTAAACATTCAATTTTGCTTAACTGCTTGGTCAACTTGTTGAACAATGTCGTCTGTAGTG